GATGTAGAAGACATCAGCTTGAGCGGTGTCGTTGAACCGTCGAGCCAAGGGCATAGATGCCGGTGCTGCTTCATTCGGCTTCTTGTACTTGGAACAGGCCACGCGCTGGTACTTGCGGGCGGCCTCAATCACATTGGGGTGTGCACCACGAGCAGAGAGGAGATCAGCTAGAGCATCAGCAGATGGATGTCTCAGATTCCGGTCCAAGGGAGCTTGACCAAGTGTCCTGCAGCTTTTGAGCTTGACACCGCATGGGCTGCATCCCAATCATGTGGTTCTTCAGGTTTCACGATGGCAGCAGCCAAGGTGGCGGCCATGCCGGGTTGGTAGTTCTCCACATAGGCCGTGCGCGCTATAGCCAGGAGCTGACCTTTGCAGGTGGCAATGCTCGTGATCATGTTGACATACCAGATGCATAGCTTCAGCGGCTGCCTTCTTGGTGGTCTGAATGCGAGTGGACTTCTGAACCGGTTTCCATTGACCATCATCGTCCAAACATTGCGCACCATAGCGGCGCTGGTCAAACTCAGCAGTGTAGCCAGGGAGCGCCTTGAGCGCCGAAGTCTTCCAACTCAGGGCGAACTTGGGCTGTTCGAGATGAGCATGGCGTGCGCCCTCGATCTGAATTGAAGGTGCCGTCGATGGTGTCGTTCACGGTTGGCGATGAGTGCTGCTTTCTGTGGTTTGGCGCGGCGCGCCGAAGTCTGCATCGGAGACCATAGTTTGCAAGTAGGAGCCAGTAGAACTTCATCAGGCACCTCTTCCTGCTGTCGCTCAAGGAATAGACGCTGGTGTTCAAGCAGGTTGAAGCCCCATCCAGTCGACAAACTGAAGCGCTCCACTTGCATGCCCATTGCTTCTGCTATGTGAGAGGTTCGGCTTTCACCATCACAATATAGACATCCCAGAGGACTCGGTGTTGACGTTCTTCACGATGGAGTTCCTGGGTGACGAATGCTTCGGTATGCCGAGTGGCTGCAAGCAAACCCATCTCGATGGTGTGGCTGGTTCTTCTTCATGACCTGGTCAGCAATGCCGTTGGCGGCAAGGACGTGGTCATTCGCAAGAAAGATGTTCTCCATCTGGTTGAAGTCATGAAGGTACAAGTGGCTGCCACGCACCTCTTCAGCGATGTTGAGCTCGAAGGTGGCTTTTGTCGGGTCAGGGACCACTTCCATGCCTGCGGTGAGTGACAGGAGATATTCACCGTGTCGACCAAGCAACACCGGCTGCCAAGGTGAAGTACCAAATCTCACTTGCTTGCCACTGAAGTCAATGCCCATATGCAAGGCCTCGACGACAGGTCGCTTCCATCAATCATCACTGGGAGGTTGACCGTCCATCGAGCTTGAGAGGAGGCATCTCCACCAAACTGGAACAACCGTTCGCAGCGAGCGAACCTGATGGTGTTCACCGGGTAGCCGTGCCCAACGTAGCGCTTGAATGGTCCATAGCCACTCAGAAAAGCAGACGCTCCAGGGTCCAACATGGTGGCTTCAGGGTGTTCTATGCCACGCGCAGCCTCCGAGTGCACAGCCATTCCCTCAGTGGTGGTAGTACTTGGTGCAGGCCTCTTGTTGCTTGGAGAGTTGCTTCGGTCTTGGTGTCTTTCGGAGTTCCAGCCGCCAGCTTTGTAGTCCTGGCCGTAGAGCAGGAACAATGCTTCGACCACATTGGCCTTCTCCAAGGTTGGGGCTTTCAGGGTCACCATCTGCCTCTGCTCCCTCGTGAGTCCGGCTCTCTTCAAAAGGTGCCAGCCTTGGACCTGATTCGGGAGCATGATCTTGTGCCCAGTCAGCTTGCGGTAGGCCTCGTCGTGGTCCGGGACGAAGGACAGGAGGGATTGCTGACGCTTCCTCTTGAGGCCATTGAAATAGGCCTCAAAGTCGTTGGGCAGGAGGACCCTGTCGTCGTACTCAAAGTTTCGGTCACGTCGGGTCAGGATCTTGCCGAAGGCGTGCTCCTTCTCGCAATCCTCAACGGGCAAGGACGTTGAGGACGGCTTCGCCTCCACGCTTGCTCAGAAGCATCATTCTTGTGGTACAAAAGGAGCCGCTTGCGACGCTCACGGTATTCGCTGGGCTGTCCATTGAACAATGGCGCGAAGGAGTCGCGCAGGTTGAGGTAGTCATTGCTCGCTTCTGCTGCCTGCGTCGGTGGTGGCATAGTACAGGTAGTGCAAAGACCGAAAGAGCTCTGATGTCGAGACAATCAGGGACTCGGCAATGCGTTCGTGACGTCGCAATGAATGCCCAGGAGCCGGAGCTCCGCTACCAATGCGAAGATCTCGACGGCAATCGAAGTCCGTCAGCAAACGAAAGGTCGTCTCGCGCAAGGCAAGACACGACGCGCCCTTTTGACGGAATGAGTTCCCGCCCTCTTGAGGCGGAATGGTGCGAGCGGTTTCAAATGAAAAACAGGCTCCTGCCTCACAACCCGATCGAACAGCGTTCGATTCACATGATGCTTTCTGTCGCCAGATTTTTGCTTCAAACCCCGATGGGCGCTCAGACCAACGTCCAGACGCAGATGAACCGAAACAACTCTTTGACAAACATGACGTGACTCCCTCGGGTGAATGAGAACGTCAATAGGCGCGGAGGGTCAAGCTTGGGTTGAAACCTGAAACGTAATGTTGGGATGTGTGCAATGTTGGGCCCATGATGGCCAATGGTTTTGCCCACTATATCGAGTTTACATTCCGTCCAAATCATGCTTTTGGATGCTGTTGGAAAAACCATGCAAACATCGTCTTGGTCCTCTTGGAAAAACCTGCAGCAAACTGGGGCTGAGTATGGCTGAGTAGTTACTATAGAATCTTACAGATCATCTTCACGGCGCGGTGTGTTCATTTTTCTGGGACTATGATACGGCATGTCTCTGGGGTGGGCCGCTATCGATTCAGCACCCTCTACCAATGCCAGCGCTGTGGTGAGGCGCCTAGTAGTGTCAGCAGAGTGCGTGGTAACCGACCGCTCCGTGGCAGAGGGTAGTAGCCTAGCTGCTGCAGCGACGTCTGGGTTGATCCAATCGTCGTGTTGTGTATGGGGCGGCGGCAAGAGTGGGGCAGGCTTGGTTGCCCTAGTCGTCCGCAACTGAGTACTCATCAAGGTAGGAGGGTTGCAATGTTGCGGAAACTGTAGGAGATGACGGTGCCAGTGGTAATGCAGATGATGGGTGAGGCGGAATGCGCCTCCTTTGGTGGAAGCACTGACGTAGTGCCACTTCGATGGACACACACCTGCTGTCCCTCAAACAGCTTTCCTTTTTGCCAAAAGGTGAGCCGATTGGCGCACAATGGCGCACATAGGGGATAAGGGCAGAAGGGCCCAGCCCGTAGAGGACAAGGTCCAGATCCGGATGACCTCCTTTGTGGCGGATTAGGGGCTCAAACTCATAGCCTTGGCAATCTCAACTTCCGCTGGTTGCGAGTCGAATGTGTAGTGAGGCGGGTCAAGGTCGGCCATGGCTGGTCTAAGGGACGGGGAGTCACGAGAGAGGCTAAGGAGATGAATAACAGGTTCGAGTGTTTGTTGCAGCCTGAGCTACTCCCCAAATCTATTGCAGTACCCAGGGTGGAAACTGGTAAAGCAAAACATTCCTAAAGTGCCACAAGAAACCACCTTGCCAAACTGGTAACAAGAAACACCCAACCCAAATCTCCCACTAGAACGCTGTGCGCGCGACAACACCGTGGGAGGGGAAAGCACTGAACCAGGCACTCCACTTATTCCTGGCTGACGGACTGCAAGTCCAAACGACGGACTACATTGTCCATATTGCACGAGATGCACCTAAGTTTGCCGACATGTACTGCGTGAAGCCCGGGCTGATCGCTCTTGCTTCGGCGCCCTCAACGGTCCACACGCAAAAACCCGTTGCATAAGCGCATAGTAACATTGCGTGACCCAGTGACACCACTCGAAAGCGACAAGTCCAAATTGGTGCGTCGAAAGCGACGCTTCCCCACCTCACGGCTCACCACATGCCACACACTGCGAACAAGTCAAAAATGGCCACGCAACACAGCGCCACACGCACTCGCAGCAAGGACACTCCCAACCAGCTAGGAGGCAAAAAACAAACCATATAGATCGTAACTTCATATCACCACATGTCACCTTGAGACGCATCACCAGCTGACCCGAAACCCGAAACGTTTTTGTCAGTGCCCAGGTTCCACTCAGGCTCGTTGCGGACATGTGACGGTGCATATAGTTGTATTTTCTCTTGCGGCTAACTTGCACAACAAGAGCCAGGCGTTCCTTTGATCACGAAGCGAGCTTGTGGCCCCCTTATGCGTTTTTCCAAAGGCAGGCAATGGATTGCACAAGTTTACAGATTTTGGCGGTCGGTACTCCCAGAATTGTCCAGATTAGACCGACTCGTGCTTTTGACGACCGCGAACGGCTCCACAACGGTGATTTGACGACCGAGAGTCATAATTGGTGTGCATGTGACGCGCCTTCTACATTTTACTACCTTCCAATCTATCGTTTGTGTGTCGATGCAGTTATCTATACTGTATATATATATATACACCTTAGCCGCCTTAGCTTATAAGCTTTGCACAGTTTGTTGCAAGACAACTGGTGGCTGCGCACGGTGCGGGTCCTGGTGTTTATAATGTCGTGTTTGCAAGTTGGATGGTTGCAGGTGGGCGAGGTGCCATGAAACCCTTTCACTGCACCACGCACAGCTTCGCAGCCCCAGGAGCTTTTGTGCAAACGCACATCACAAATATATACAGTAGCTGTCCCGTCACATCCAAATTTTGTTTGCTCCGGCCGCTTGGCGCCGCCGCTTGGTTCCAAGGCCTGAAGTGTTGTAAGGATCAGTGTGGTCAATGGGATGCACGCAAGATGGGTTATGGGTACTTGGTGTTTAGACAACTTGTATGTTTTTGTCAAATTTTGCGGCTTGGTTTGGTTGCATGACATTTTCCCAAAACAGGGGGCATCCGCTAACAGCTACAACAATGCACTAGTGCAAAGGTCGAACTCACCTGGGAGTTCAATTCAGTGGGACAACTTTAGCCATGTGACGATGGCTTGGGACTATCTACGTGGCCGAAGGAGCGAAATGGCGCGAATCTGCGACGCTGCCACTTGATGTTGGCTGCTTTGCTAGCAAATTATGAGTTCTAGGCGGTCCAAATGGTGTTGCCGGAAAGCTTTCTCACTGAGATGGATGGTTGTAGCCCTAGTGGGATTGAATATTTGCCTTTTGATATGCACAGGGTTCTTTTACCAATGGTTGTCATCAGCTACATCACCGGATCGGGATGCTACCGCGCCGCAGTTTCGCTTGAGACGTGTTTGGCCACGTCTGGTGAGACGGTTCAACGCCTCAATGCAGGTGTCGCCATGCTCGAATGTGGTGCGTGGCCCCGTTCCCACCGCACTGCCTTTGCAACACAATGCATCCTGCACTTGGTCCTTATGTGATGGGAAGAGTTTTTCTCATGTTGTAGGAAGTGTGAGAAGCATGGTGCTTTCGGAGGCCAAAGAGCATTGTGTCAAACTTGGCAGGTTGTGTCGAGGTGTTACTTGTGAGGCCGCCTCAAACTGCAGCGCGATGACTGGGCACCAAGTTCTGAATCAATCGGCGACCAGCTACACGAAATTGTGTGTGTTCTTTGGGGACGAAACCTTCAAAAGCAGCACTTTGCATGCTGCTTCGCAAGATGTCCCAAGCTCTGATGTTGCCATCGTTGTTTTGGCTCACAATCGAAAGAACGATTTATCAATTTGTTTGGATTCTTTGTTGCGTTTGCCGGATGCCAAACTCTTTCAAGTCTATGTTTCCTTGGATGACGACTCGGCTTACTCTGAGATGCAGGAGGCGGTCATCAACATCTCCGGACATTATGGTCAAGAAATCGGAGTTTGGTTTGTCAAGCCGCGCGCGGTTAATTTCGCGGTCGACAACGGAGAGCAGCAGAAATGGTTCAAAACCAGCACTGGCAAGATTGCTCATCACTACTGGTCTGCTTTTGAGCGGGTGTTTATGAAGCAGCAACACGATGCAGCAATTTTCCTGGAGGAAGATTTGGTTGTCGCTCCTGATTTCTTAGCACTTTTTCGAAGCACTGCCTGGGTTCTTGCAGAGGATCCAAGTGTGTGGTGTGTCAGTGCATGGAATGATGGAGGCTTTGCCTTTGCGGTGTCTGATCAGTGCCGTCTTTTTCGAACGACCTATTTTCCCGGTCTGGGTTTCTTGCTGCAGCGTAAGGTGTGGATAAGGCTGAGGGAAGAGTGGCCATCGGCACCGACGATGGGATGGGACTATTGGATGCGAACCGCCTTCCGCCGAGCAGACAAGGAGTGTATTATTCCAGAAGTGCCCAGGAGCCGACATGAAAGCAGGAAGGGCTCATCCATCGTCACGCGGAAGCAGGTGGAATACTTTGAGCTGATGGCTTTATCGCAGCAAAGCAGCTCTTGCGATGGCACGAGGCCATGCAACCACTTTGGGAACATCGACTACTTATTGAAAGACACCTATGAGTTTTGGATGCACTCGGCCTTGCACAAAGCTGAGAGAATGACGGGCTCAAGCCACTTGTTCCAAAGCGGCCAAGAATGTACATCAGAGGCCATCAATCTTGGGCATCTGGCAACTCCAGAAGACTGTGCCGCGCTGGTTGGCCTCGGGGAATGTAGTGAATATTTTGGTTTCGCTCGCCAGTACCCCTACTGGGGCTGCCGCTGCTGTCGATTTGGCAAGAAAATCGGCAAAGAACATCCTGGGAAGGCTTGGTCCATTTACAGAGCATCATTGACAGGTGATCCAGGGAAGACGTATGTGTTCCCATATACCTTTGAGAACTACATGAGCATCGCTCCATCCTTCGGATTGCAGCCGGAAGGCATGGCAAATTTGGTTCCCCCGGATGTTCGTGCGGAGCACTACGGTTTGGTGGTTGGAAAACATCTGACCTCCCAGGCTGTTGTTCTGCTGGTTGACAAGAGAAGCCCGAAACCATACCTTCCTGTTGATGAGCAGCTGTCTCCTGATCCCAGGCTGATGCCCATGGCAGGTGCCAAGGGCCAGTCGTGTGATGAGGTCTGCCAGCAAAGAAGGATGAGCTGCTCAGCTGAACAGTTGCATTTTCTGAACAACTGCATCAACATGACAGCTCATTTTGGTTGCAAGTTCTGCGCCCACCAAAGTGGTGCCGAACTCCCAGCCTATGTGGCAGATGACTTTGAGCCGACGGTCGGACAGTGTTTGGTGACCTTCATTTCGCAGCTCCAATGCAACACGAAGCACCCTTCAACCCGAAGGCTTTGTCCCTGCATGGCACAGACAGCGTGAAGAGAAATTGCCTTTTCTGCGGGGGCGCCATGACTCACAGATTCTAAACACTCGAGGCGCGCCGGTTCGTGCGGCCGTGCCCAGTCACTGGCGGCCTGAAACCAACCTGACGTGACCCCTGTGATGCTTGTAACACGTTCGGGCCAACGGCTGGGAAAGCTTTTTGGATCAGCGATTCCGATCAGTATGTGAACCACAGGAAACATGAAAGAAGGAATGCGGGGGGGATTCGAGTCACTGTTTGATTGGGTGTTTGTTGCACAACTGCCCCCAAGGCCAGCAGTTTGGAGAATAGGTGGGCAACACAAGCAAGTCAATGGAGGGCTTAGGAAAGAAAGACGGAAGCGGCTCCTACAAACATTATTCAGTAATTATATAAGGAGAATCAAAGAGGCTTGGGCATGGCTCAGCACCACCTCAGCCGTTTTGAGGTTTCCTCAAGCTCACCCCAAGGGGAGCTTGCCGGATGCCGCAAAGGCGGCCGAAAGCTGTAGACAAGCATCAATTTGACAGCAGAAGAGAGAAGACTAGCTATATAGACTGCGTCAAGGTGTCCTGTTGCCGTTGATATGTCATGGTAGGTCAGGTGTGAAAACACTTCTGAAAACATCGTGCCCATCTGATGAACCCTCGGACTGTGAGCTTGCCTGACCTGGTCTCGGAGAGGCGGTTCGCTGTTTTTTTTTGGAACGGTGTGATGCCCGTCTCCGGCCCAAGGGCCGGACCGTGTGCCTGGCCACTGGTTTGTCGCCAGGAAGAGGAACACCGCACTTTCGCTCTCCGAGGGCTTCTCTGGAGCCAAGCACACTGGAGCCTTAGCCGCCACAACTCAAACCTCTTGGCCAGGAGTGGGGGCCCGTGGGCACGCAGCCGTCGCAGTGCGGCGTGGGCTGGTGGTCTTGGTCAACCTTCAGGGGCATCTATATACTGTAGCCATTTTTGGGCGCTCTCAGCTGTACTAGGTCGTGCATGGCCGGGCTTCATTTGGGGGATGGTGGGCAAAACGTATTCAGCTCGGACTAGTCGCACTTTGAGCGTCTCATGTTTGGAATGTCTTGGGATGGCTGCCAGGACGACCTGGCAAAGACCCTTATGCAGGTCCGGGCTGGGGGAAAGCGACTGAAAGCGCGAGCCATGGAATTGGGGTACTTCCAGTGTACTTCCAGTTGAACCGGTGGAATAGGACTAGGAGCCTGATTTTGAGTTCAAGCCATCTTGACTGCTCTGGGCTCAAGCAGAAGGGTCTCTATCCCTCAGCGACTGAGCCAAAGGTGCTTGGAGCTGAGTCGAATGGAAAAGTACGAGCGCTTGCGGGAGCTTGGTCGAGGCTCTTATGGCTGTGCGGTTCTGGTGCGTGATCGAAACAGTCGACAGCAGCGCCGCTTGCCTTAGAAAGAAGCGCGGGGGAAGCAAAACGAAAGAGCCTGTGGAACTCGCAACATGTGTGGCGATCACATTCATGCGTTTTGTGGCACGAAGGAGGCCAACAGCTTATTTCATGTTGGTGAGCTTGGGCTTTCCATGTTCCCATATGTTCCCTATTTTCTGTGAGGTGGGGCATGTGGGGTATCCCCAGGTCTAGTTCATCCCAGCCTGTGCGCTTTTTCAACTCCAGGTGTTGTCAAGGAGATTGACTTGTCCCGCATGCCTGCTCTTGCGAAGAACGAGGCCCAGAACGAAGTGAATGTTCTAAGGGGTTTGAAGCATCCGCACATTGTGGCATACTGTGATTCCTTCTTGGCGGGTCGCATGCTTTGTATTGTCATGGAGTTCGCTGATGCCGGAGACTTGAGCCAACTCATCAAACGAAAGAGGTCCATCAGCGAGCAGCTACGAGAAAGTGAGGTCTTGCCCATCTTTGCCCAGTGTTGCTTGGCCCTCCACTACGTCCACAGGCGGCACGTGTTACATCGGGATCTCAAGTCCCAAAACATCTTCATGACATTGGCTGGAGCCGTCAAGCTGGGAGACTTCGGGATTGCCAAAGTCTTAGACCATACAGCTGCAGAGGCCATCACCATGATTGGAACTCCCATCTATTTGGCGCCCGAAGTGTGTCACAGCAAGCCCTATGGCATGAAGGCTGATGTCTGGTCCATGGGAGTGGTCTTATATGAACTCTTGGCCTTGGCACCACCCTTCACCGGAGCCAACATGGCTGCCTTGATCAACAACATTGTTACTGCGACCCCCAGGGAGTTGAACGCGGAGCTCTATGGCCCAAAGCTGAGAGAGTTGGTGATGGACATCCTTCAGAAAGCACCCGAGATGAGGCCCAGCGTGGCAGAGATTCTGGGGCGTTCACCGCTGCGAGATGTGGCGGAGGCCCTTCCAGCCTGGAGCCTTTATGCTCCAGAGGGTGCGGCAGCTGTTGAGGTGGTGGGGGACGACATGACAATGCCCGGAGGAGGACAGAACGTTCCGGACACACATTTGGCTCAACTGGAGTCGCTGGAAGACGTGCAGAAGAGGTCGGGCGATCTCCGCCGCCGTCCGCCGCTACCCATGCCCGATTCTGCACGGGTGGCCAATGAGTACAGGCAGAACAGAGAAGCAGCCCTGGCAGCCAAGGCTCGCGTGCTGGGCCGAACAGGGCAACGAAGTCTAAGTGCAGAACCTGCCGTGTCTGCAGCGAGCAGTGCAAACAGTGCATGCGAAAGAGCTGCAAGGGAGGCAGAACACCTGCTTGCCTTGCAGCAAGCAGCGATGCAGGCTCGACGTGACAGACAGCAGGTCCAACAACGACTGCAAGCAGAGATGGAAGCAAATGCAGCTAGATACCAGCTGGAAACGTTGAATGATACGTTCGAACGCCCCAGTTCCGCAGAGAATGAGAAGCAGCACCTCGCAGATTTGCAAGAAGCAGCCGCACAGGCTCGAAGGGACCGACGACTCGTGCAGCAAAAAATCCGAGATTTAGAGAAGAATTCTGAAAGTGAGCGGATTTCGAACCTCACCGAGATGGATCCACAAGACCTACGACACGATCAGGGTCTCGACCGACCAAGTCCACGCGGTGAGGAGGAGCATCTTCTGGCACTGCAGGAGGCCAGGGCCCAAGCTCGCCGAGACCGAAAGGTCTTGGATGCGAAGCGCAAGGCCCTGGCCGACGAGGGGCGCGAGGACGCTCCGCGCGCGGAGCGCGCTCCGCGCCCGGAGCTGGACACGGAGGACAGTCAGGGTGCTCGGCGCATGGCCAAGGCAGAAGTACAGCGGCTGGAGGAGGAAAAGCGATATCGTGAATTGCGGAAGGCCTCTGCTCAAGCCCGGCGCGAGCGGAAGCTGCTGCAACAGAAGGTGAGGGAGATCGAGTGGGGAGACGGACGCGTGGATGTCGACCCCTTTGAACGAGATGAGTCGAACTTGAGGCTCTCCACCGAGCGGTCGGAGGGATCGCACCGGCTTTCGTCCACCTTGAACCTCGCGGGCCAGTTGAGCCTGTCGCGGCCAGCGTCCGTCGAGCGCTCCGTGGAGCCGACCTCACCGGCCGTTGAGCATGTTCACCTCGGCGCGTCACCGTGCGCTCCAAGCATTGGTGAGGCACACTCGGCGTCGCCGGTGCCTTGGGATTCAACAGAAAATGCTGTCTTGAGCGTTCTTTTATGTAGACTCTTGGATACTGATACTTTAAAACTATACAAGATTGATATTTTAAAGATATACTGTACTATTTACTCTTGGACTCTGACATCATATAACCACCCATTTGGATGATAAAACCTCTTAATGTCAGATCATGATGATCATTTCAATTCTTTTATTGGGTCCTGCATTGGACAACGAAGGAAAGACGTGCAGCTGCGCGCAACGAAACCTTGGGCTCTTTGTCATACTCACTCACTGCCACTGGCATGCACGCTCAGTGAACTTAAAACCAACATTCAGTGATATTATTTTGGATGACACAGAAAGGAAGGAAGGGAAGGGAAGGGAAGGGAGGAAGGAAGGAAGGAGCCTTTGTTGAATGTATATAGTATTAACGCAGGGATTGAACATTGAGGAGCAGTATGATTTGGGTCATCAGTCCATCCAGCATGGGTCAATCGAATACTCATATGCCCAGTAGATGACTGGTGATCAGCCTGATCAGCCAGGTCAAAGCCCACTTTCGTTTGAGACCGACTTTTTGGGAAACGAAAGTGAGCGGACTCCAATCCCAGCCACCCTTCGGCTCGAGCTCGAGCTCGAGCTCGTTCGGGAACTCCAACTCGCAGATCAGAAGCAGGCCCCCCCCGCGAGACTATGCGAGACTAAGCGTGGCATGACAATGGCCGTAGGGGTGAACGCTGAGTAGCGATGCACTTGTTACTAATAGCTTCTTGTTACTACTGGTAAGGCTCTTGTTCCTAGTAGCGATGCACTTGTTACTAATATGTCCTGTTCTTTGTGGGGAAACATGGATTTCGCTTTGTCGCTTGCATCCTTTTGCTGCGTCCCTGGCCCACTCAGGCTCCCTTCTCCACACTGTTTTCGACCAGCTCCTAGCGGAGAAAAAGACCGCTTTGCCCTCCTGATGGGCATGTTTGCCTACTTTGTGCATGTATAGTCCATATTATTCCATAATTATTTCCGTAATTCTCTATGTAAATAATTGTAGTGACCCAACAAGTGCAGCTTCTTTGGAGTCATGTGGCCCACGTGGACTCGCACGATCGGTTGGGATGGTCCTGAACCCAATTCACAACATCACAGGACGGCAGGACACCAGTGGCCGCTTTGCATTGTGGCCGTGAAACAAGCAAGACAAGACAACCTTCAAAGGACCTGCTTGTTTTCTTAGGTGGGGCATCCTCCTGGATCAGTCATGGTACCGTATACTTGGCACTCGAACACTCGCGCCGTCGCGGACGTCGACCTCCACAGGTGCTGATGAGAACATCTCAAAGGGGCTCAATTTCACACTGCCGCTTTATTACAGGCCGACTGGGCGAAGCACCAAAGCAATTTCGGGATGTGAGTCCCGGCGAAGCAGGCCAAAGAGCCTGCGAAGCACAAAGAGGATGCACGGATTCAATTACTGTATACTCGAACCATTTGGAGACCAGCCAGTAGGGGAACTTGAAGTAGGCCTGTTGATGGCAAATGTGACGAGAAGGTGACGCGCTGGCGCGCGTCCCTTTGATCCCCACGAGGTGCCGACAACTGGTGCTCAACACGGAGAAGTCTGGCCACAGAGTGCCACAGAAGATGCAGATGGAGCTGCGGTCTTTAGAAAAGCAGCTGGGCTGGTGAGATTGCACTGGGCGTGGCTTTTTCGTGTATCTATGATCTCTTGGGCGCCCAGGGGTCACACCCATTCGGGAGCCAAGGTCAGTTGCTGGCGATATCCGAGCACTGAACCCTCTCCTCTTTCAGCGCTTCGATGATGTCCAGCTAGATAGGTGGGCCCTTACTGCGTCACGTCAAGCGTGTCGTTGTTACACTTTCGAAAGTACTCGTAGACACTATGTTAAATTGCACTTGTTAAGAAGATCGGGAGTCTACATCAAGTAAACGTTTTAAACTCATGGTCACCTTCCTGCCACGTTTGACCTCAGGCTGCTTCGTGCCATGCCTTTCCTGAGGCGGACATATGGAAGTTCCATGGGGTCACCTAAGACGAAATGGGGTTGTTTGGTTGTTCGAACAGTTTTATTTGTCAAACAAAACCATTCAAAGGTGTTCATTGTTTGTTCCGACTTGAGCAACACAATAAACAACTCGTTGGTTGTGTGCGTAAAACATTGTTCGTTTTATATAATCAAGCTTGCGATATGTCTTTTCGACCCTGTTTAACGTGTTTGTTTTTTGCAGTAGAAAACTTCTAGCACACTGCTACTTGTAAAACTGCACAACTTCTAGTTTCCACATCATACCTTTTGTGGCTTGTTTGCGGCCTTGTGTATATCTATAAAAATACCTATGTACTGTGTACGGGTATATATATATTATATATATATGATGCATATTTGTTTGGCCCACCCACATGCACAAATTGGCTAAAAGAGTGATGGTGTGACGTGTTGTTTTTGAAAACAAGATGGGCACCAATCTCAAAAGGAAAAAGACAAAAGCGCCTCATACCTGGCGACAGCCATGCCTTATGGAACACGGAATGCTGCGCAAGGCTCTCTGTTGGCCGTTGGCTGTTCGGCTGTGATCAGCTGGCAGCAGCCTGGCCAAAAGGTTCCAGATCCTTTCTGCTCATGGCAGGCCGGAATGTGGATGGGGTGTGGAGGAAATGGGTTAGTGTCTCAGTCCCCGACTCGTTTGAGGTTTCAAGTCCCAGTTTCGCAAACGGCCCTGTTGTCCATGATCGACATGGCAGGCAAAATCAATCTCTTCCTAGATCCCAATGGCGTGGGTGAACGTCAAGAGATTGGCAGAGGAGCCATCTTTGGAGAGAAGCATTTCAGGCGGGGTCGAACGGGCACACCACTGATGCGCCAGCCAGCCGCATGAGCCAGCGGGCGCGAAACGCAACTGACAGGCTGGGCGATGAGTCCATGCTGGACGCAGTAGGTGGTGCTGCCCAGTGTGAAGAGCCATGTGTGATTGGAGCTGCTCGGAGAGATTGGCCCTTGGGCTGGGTTCCTTTTTCGATTCTTGTGCCAGAGGGATTCACCAATGAGAAGTATCACAACGACAGAAACACTTGTAGAATCTTGTAGATTGAAGTGTCCCTTTTACATGCCCCTGACCACCTTTCAAGAAGGTCCACTGTAGGTCTTTTTGAGGAAGTCAGGGTCGTTCAAACTTCGTTGAAGACATTTGATGACATTTGTGTGTGTGTATTGAAATAGGGGAACAACCTCCCTGGACCAGTTCGGAGAATAGACCCCTCTACCCATCGGTTGGATCAAATGTACTGTCGACCTGGTCGGCCCTCGTAGGCCCTCGGGGCCGGCCTGAGTGTCGATGCCAAGTCTTCTAGCTGGCATCATCTATGGTGCTTCTAGCTACTACTCTCTGACTCACTAACATGGAAGTGGACAATGACCCCTTGGAAGAATTCTTTCCTTTACAAACAGGAGGTTTTCCACTTCCATGTTAGTGAGTCGGAGCTACTAGTAGTAATGCCCTTGCTCCGTTCGTGGCGATGCCCTTGTTCCGTTCGTAGCTTCTTGCTCCTAGGGGTTTTCTCAGGTTCTTGGCACCGAAGTGTTAGAGGCGCGTTTTTGGGCCGCGAAGTCTGAGTGGCGGGGTCGCGCCCCAGCGCAGACCAGGCGTAGGTCCGGGTGGGGTCCGGGGCGGCTGGTAGGGGGCGCTGGTAGGGCTGGTAGAACTCGATCATCATTGGGTTGAAGGATGTTGAAGGTTTAAGAGTCTTAGTCTTGCTCACCAGGTGTTTTCAGAAACGGTCCAGATCATTGTTTTCTCTAACCACAGGCACTATGAGATCGGGGGATTCTACGCTCACTTTGGAGAACGGTAGGTTACCGTGAGAACGGTGTGCAGGCAGCGTATGCAGACCGTGCCTTTGGAAATCGCAAGATTGCTTTGAGCATGCGGCACGCACCTGCACTTTCTCGTGTAGCTGCTTGGACACTGAAATTGAAATCTTTGTGGCTGGAATGATTCGAAATCACTTCTGATTGTTGGGAGCGGCCAGTAGTTCTGTGTGCACCTTGTGATCTTGGAATTGGAACTGAGGTTCTCCCTGAAGGCTTTGTAAATGGCAAGGTGGACTTCGTCGGGTGCTCAGTGATGTTGCAAACACTTCGCCTGGTCTCCAAACAGAGTGCTTAGTGAGACAGGGTGCGGGGGGTGTCTCACAGCAACGCGCACCCCCCTGGTTGGTCTTGACCGGGCCCCTGGTGCTTCGAGGGTTGCCACGCCCGGTCGACCGGGCGAGCTGCTTTGGGCCATGCCAGGCATCGTTGAGCTTTGCGGAGAAGACCAAGCTGCTCGAGGCCGACCGAGCTGCTCAGTCTGATTAGAGATAATCAGAGTTGGTGTGAGCCCACAGGAGAAGCAGTCTGGCGCCGTAAAGCATGCTTTGGAGGAGTTGGCCAAGGCAATGCTGGATTCATGCACGCCTTGCATTGACCCATCGCCCTTCCGTGCAAGCATGAAATGCAACTCCTGCGGTGTGCGTTTGGAAGGTCTCCACTCAACTCCACTTGCTCTCGGGCCAGGAGAGTCTAAAATTGCATTGCACATTGTGCAGATTAGCACCTATTGATCCTATTGGATGCTATTGGTCTTCTGTGCTTTGCTGCTGCTGTCAGGAGCTTCTCAGTGACCAGCCCATTGACAGCAGCGTGATTATGGTTTCCAAAGGCAGCAGCCTGCCTTGCAGATGGATTTCTGCTTCACTCGTTGCTGGACCCATCCGATCGGCTTCAGCTGACTGAACCAACATAACCAACCGGTTTCACGCCACCCGAGGCATTGAAGTTCGGGGCGACATCAAGCTAACAGAGAGGCTCGATGTCTTGCCTCCCAAGAAGAAGCGCATGCGCCGCCTGGTCGCATGATTGGGGTGAGTTTTCTCACTCGCTCCGGAGCTTCGTTTTTCCCGAGCCTGTCGTATGTCATGGCATTCAAAGATATTCAAAGTCATGGTACGTGGTAGCAATGGGCGTCAGCTTGGCTTGGTGTGTCATGCCACGACTGGAGACTTGCTTTGAGGCATTTTTCTCGACAGAGCCGAGAAGCTCGCAGGTGCGGCGGTGTGGCAGGGAGGTGCAGCAGGGAGCAGTTTCTCCTGTGGGGCAGGCGCTCTTTGTTTTTCTCTGCGGTGCTCAGTCCCTTTTTGAGAGGCAATTAAAAGACGTGAAACATGAACCGGAAGGGAACCTTGGACCGATGAGGCTGTTCTGGGAGTCGTGGGTTATCTTGGGAAGCTACGTGTCCTCAGGGTTTGATTTCCGATGATTTCCGTTTGCACTGCGCGACTGCACACTGGCTTTTCCCCGCAGAGCCGCCGCAGAGCATTCAAGGAGCAGCATTGTTTCATGAAGTGCGGCAAGTTAGGGCATTTTCTGTGGATGTGGTGTTCACAAGCTAGTGCACCGAATTGCGGTGGCAGACAATGGCAAACCAACAAGAGAAATCATGCGGGGAACTCCGAGACCCTTTCTTGCAAGAGTCACATTGTTCTCGATCATGCGCGCAAAGGAGCGCCGTGCGCATGTCACACTGGCCGCAGTGAGTTTTTCCGCCTGCGCTTTACTTCTGGGGTCTCCTTCCTTTACGACGCCCCACGCCTCAGACCTGCAGAGACAACCCGGAGGGGTGCGTCGAAGCTTTTTTGGAAGACGGGCAGATGGGTCCGTCCGGAGGGACGAGAAAGACGAGAAGGATGCTTGGAAGAACTTGATTGCTGCATGTGGTGCCTCATTGCTGCTGGTGGCCTGCTCTTTTCCGGGCCTTGCTAGTGCCAGGGATGGGCGCTTATCACCGCCGACATGTGTGGCGATCATAGATGCAGCGACCAACTGTCCAGCTCGCCCTGCGGTTGGCGCCAAGAAGAACGCTGAGGTCCAATTGAAAGCAGCTGAGGAGCGCCTGGCAGCTGCTGAAAAGCAGGCTGGCCAGACCATTGAGCCTGGACAGTCTCAAGGAGGTGAGCCGGAGATGGTGGATTTCTGGAAGAATGAATTGGCACGTTTGGAGTTGAATCGCACTTACATGGCCGAGTTGCAAGAGAAGATGAAGAGCCCAGAGGCACGCTTGGTCTCCCAACTTGCGATTGAAACCTCCGAGGTGTCGAAGGAAGAGAAGTTTTGGTGCGAGGCGCTGGGCATGCAGCGGTACAAGTCGCTTCCAGATGGGGCGGTGCTGGTTGGGTTTGGTCCACCCAGTCTTGGAGGTGAAGAGGGTGCATACTTTGCGATCAAAATATCGCCAAGTGATGCCCCAACCTCAGTCCAGGCATCTGGCACAAACAAAGCTCGACTGAGCTTTGTGCAATTGACCACCCCTGCTTTGATACGAATCTCTCGAGTCGTATCTAGTGGGGGTGCAGTAGTTGATGGTTATGGCTACTACGGTGTGCAGTCCCCGGCAGGAGTTCAAGTGAGAGCATATGTGGAGGACCGCAGAGATCCAATTGAACTGGTTGCCTTAGCCGTTGAACCTAACAAGTTTGAGGAGACACGTGACTTTCTGAAGAAGCTTGGGCTTGAAGAACGAGGGCCATACAAGCTTGTGTCCCCAGAGATGCAAGCCTACATGCCTCCGTTGCCTGAGGGCAATCTTCTTTTCGGCAGTGGTGATCCCAAATTGAACGTCCAGGTCCTGCTACTTCCTGAAATCCAACAACAGAAAGAAAGTGGCAACCTTTTGCAGGGCCTTGGACGTGGACCTACCTTGCTCATCAATGAAGATAGCTCCTGGGGCGTTGGGCTCTTAGACGAGACCGAGAGGCCACTGGTTCCATTGTCATTGGCCAGAAGGCCTGTCCTCACACTGTATGGAGGTCAGGAACCACTTGCACCAGAGACTCGGCGGCTGCCAATGGGCCGGGGCCAAGAATCACCCTGTTTTGGTTGATGCAGAGACCGAAATGGTTTTCAGCGATGGTGTACCGTGTTATGTACCGGATATATGTACCGTGTTTGCCATGTGACTATAGAATATATATATATATATATAATATAGACCTTTTTTTTTGTTGGCTCTGCTGGTCACGAAAAGTAGGCGTACCTTGGACTTGAAAGATGTGATGTTTGTTTTTTGGGGTCTGTTTGGACTAGTTTCGACCTTGATCTGGAGCCTAGGATGCTGGGGACGGCATGCTTCTCGAGCTGCGAACCATCAAGGACGCACCCCGGCCTTAAGCCACTGATTTAGTGCCTGGACAATCCCCGTTTTGGGAGTTGCCTTTCGGCCCACAAGTGGAAGCATCGGCAGACCCACAGTGGAAGCTAGCCCTTGCGAGAGATTGCAATATTGCACTATCCGTGGCAGAAGGAGAAACGCTTGTCGACCACAATGCAGACAACAGAGCTCACACTCACAAACCCAAATTAGCGATTCAAGTATATTCAGTGTATATAGACAAATCATTAGACATATATATATATATATATCTTACTCGGGTTGGACGAGCTTCCTCCAAAAAGCATCATGTCTCGAGACAGCCTGTGGTGCCAAACACCGATCCGCGGAGGCGATTCGATCTTTGACAAGCTCGATCCCTACTGCATCGTGAAGCCGGGAGCCCCCAACGACCCGGCATCAGGAACCGCGCCAGCTTCCGAACGCTTCGGCAAGGTTCCAAACAGTTCAGGTTCGAAAGGGGGAACTCGGCGTTCCTTTTCCTTCTTGCCGAGGTTGGGCGAGTTCAAGCGCTTTCAGACCCCAGTGATGTGGAATGTCGGTGTGAATCCGCAATTCGAGCACCTGAGTTGGCAAGTGGACCCACTATTTAGAGATTTTTTTTTGCTTTTCTATTTGACTGTCCTGTTTGGGGTGTACTCTTGGACATTGGCAGTCGGCACTTCTTTCGTTCAGGTATCAGGGTGTCCTGACCTATGCAGATGAGGAGGATGCTCGGCGGCGCTCAAGAGGGCCGTAAATGCTTTTCTTTGGCGTTCGCTTGCAGCGTTCCGGCGGATCTAAGGAACTGGAAATCATCGCTCCTTGGCCATCTTTAGATCCCCCCCAGCGCGTTCTCTCCTTCCACGCTCCGCGGTACACCCCGTGAAACAATCAGATTGGTGTGGTGGAGTGAGGACGTCTTCGACACCGGGTCATCCCAAATCGGGGGCCATGCGATTATTTCTTTGGGCAGGTGATGGACTACGACAAGTTCTCTGCGGATGATTTGTGTGGCAGCTGCACCGTCAAGGTCTCTGACTTGTCGCTGGGCCTTACGCCGCGACCCGTGGTCCACTCGCGCCACCGCGGCGCTGGGACTGGTGGCGCCCCTCGCCTCGCCCAGGTATGATGGTTGGTATGGCAAGGTGGACCTGATGAGGCCAAAGCGAAGCTTGGGAGCCGCCAAAGATGATGAACACATGCCGCTCGGTATGTAATACTCGACCGTAGAGAGCGTGTATGGGTGTGCCTTTTTTGGGTGGGCACTGGGTGGGCACAGAACAGACTGCCGTGGCAGCAGCTGCTGATGGGGGCATCAACAATGTAGGGTGTCCTTGCACCCACGGTTGGGAGTTGGGAGAATGTTAGTCATTTCTTTTGAGCACTAGGATGTGAGGGGCCAAGAGCTACAAGAAAGATGAATGATTAACGATGTTGACCCCTGGTTGCATTTTTTGCATCCTTCGCTAGCCACCATGAAATCGAAGCGAGGCTGGAGCTTGCAGGGAGGCTCTATTTTGGGGTGACTTGGTGAGCAAGATGTTAGCAGGAAGGTGGCTCGATCTCCATGAGATGTTCATAGATGTTCCAATTTTTGGATGCCTGAGGTCAAGTACGATTATGAGAAGATCAGTGCCCTTACAAAGAAGCCTAAGGAGAAAAGTTGGCCGGACCAGGTGGGACAAGTCTGGAAGAGTCAGCTTGGGGAGAAGTTGGCAGAGCTCCCTCACCAGGTTCTCTTCAGTCTGGACAATCTGGATGCTTGGGGTCATGAAACCATCATGCTTCGAGCTCAGTCTTCCTGCTCTCAACAAATGAGTTCTTCGATAACATATTGTACATTCAACGACGAGTTGTTCGCTCCTGCTGTGTGACACGGGTCTCTTGTTGTGCCACGGTGACCTGCGCCTGTGTGTCACTAACCTCTGAACGTCGAGGCGGTAGGGAGCGAGGAACTTCCTTCCTTCCTGCTCGGTCCAAGGCTGGGACCAGTCTTCATGAAAACCTTGGAAGGGGCAGCCAGTCAGACTGCCTTTGCTTTGGCACCTGGTCATTTTATGAGAAAAAGACCGCACAACAAGCGGAGGTGGGAGGAGGGTGGAGTGCAGTGCAAGTGGAATCGGGAGTTGCAATAGATGCCCGCTCTCAACCACTGGTCCAACCACTATGGAAAGTGGACAGTGGCCCCTGGAAAGACCATTTCCCTCTACAAACAGGGATTGTCCACTTCCATGTTTGTTGGAGGAAGGGCAACTGCTACAAGACTCTTCCATCTCTTGTGTTGCCTCCCTGGGCTCCTCGGGCCATCCATTCGGCCCTTTTCAATGGAAGTATAAAAAGAAAAACAACAAATCAATTTACGATAATATACTAACTTAAAAGCAAAAAGACCCTGATCTAAACCCTGCAGATCTACACCGCTCCACGACGACGTCCCGGTGTGATGCTCCACTCACGGTGGAAACACCGCTTCTTCGAGCGGAGCGATCCCAGGAACTCACGAACTTCCGCATCTTCGGCGGGTACCAGCGAGGAGGCGAGCCCGGCGAGCCCACAGTCCGGACCCGAACGCCAGGAACCGCGAGAGACGACGAGAAAAGACGTGTCTACCCGGTAGATGTTGAGAGAAGCTTTGGAAGCCAGCGTTGTGTGGTTTGCAGTCCCTCTTTTGGGGGTGTGGAAGGTGCAAATGAGAAGATCGTGCTTTTGAAGGCTGGACCTGGACAGCAGGAACAGATTGCAGCTTCAATCATAGACGAGCTGTGGGCCCAAAGCCACGGCTTAGAGACGCTTGCAACCCTTGCAGGCTTCCAAGAAGAGGTTTATGGACTTTGTGGGGAGCTTGGAGCCAATTGATCTTCTGTCGAATTCGGGTAAACCAGCGGTTTTCAGTGTCCTCATGTTTTTTAATTCACTGGAGACGTGGGTTGGGCAGGTGAAGAAAAGCCAGAAGGAGAAACAGTTTTTGCAGTCCTGCCGTCTTTCGACGCTGGACAAGCAGGTGACCATCAAGGCATCCACTTCTTCGTAAGCATTGAGGAGAAGAGAGAGAGAGAGAGAGCGAGAGGGAGAGAGAGAGAGAGAGAGGGTGAGCGGTGCATTGTGGGGGCTTAGACTTCCTGAAAGAATCATGGCAGCGGATGGCATGGCCCCGATTTCGCATGACCATGGTTCGCCAAATACCAAACAGGTGTTGAACTGCACGAAAGCATGAGTATTACTTCATGGAGAATAGTGGGCCTTTTCCACAGTCAGAGCCACCGGAGCTTCGCTGGTCAGGGCATCATCAAGTCGCTCATCGAACGCTGGGAGACGGAAGACCAAACCGAAAACTTCCGCAAAGGCGCACTCTGCTATTCGCTCCGCTCGCAACAGGACCTACATTGTCTTTTTGGATGGGGTCCATATATGTCCATATATAAACCTATATGGTCCTTATAGGGGGTCCATATATATCCTATAGACATATACAGGTCCATATACGTCCATATAAACCACCGAACGACTGGGGTAACTTGTGCCATTTGCTTCTTGACTGCCCAAAGGCCAGGCCTTGAACCGAAACGAAGGCCGAAAGGCCGTGCCTTGACCGGCAGAGATTCCCACGGGCCTTACCCGTGGGCGCTACCGGTTCACCAGCGCTGGTGTTGCTTTTCACTGCATATCTTCCACGCATTTTGACCTCGAGACTACTAACTAGAGATGTCTTTGAGTCATCTAGAGTCGTCTAGATCTTATTGACCTCGACCATCGGCCGCCATGTTCATTCACCTCGTGGCCTCGTGGAGCTGGTTTAGCTCGTGCCCGGGAAGGAGCTAAGGCTTAGGAGACCCCTCACTCCCCACTGGGAGCCCTTCGGTGCGAAGTTCCCCCCAACCGCCACTTGCTCGGGTGCCACGGAACCGTCCTGCGCTGCCGACCGTGGTAGGTGTCTTCCAGACGAAGGTCGTGGAGGCGGTAGACCCCAGCAGGTTCCGCGTCGCGTACCGCGGCGCCAAGGCGCGGCGAACAAAGACGCGGTTGGTGGGGCGCGAGACGGGCGCGCCGGAAACGGAGGCATGAGGAGTGTGGGCTGTTGCTCTGACATGGAAGATCACCAGTGCATTTTGGACCCCAACGCCCAGAGTCCCCCTGGTTTGGTTGCCTGGTACGTCGCTTCATGGGGGCAGGACATTATATAAGTGCCTCTTGAGCGGCTTTTAAATGGAAGATGGAAGATGATGGAAGAATGGTCTTGCAAAGTCTTGCACCTCCCGAAGGGGCGGGCCGAGGGCTGAGGGAGAAGGCTTCCCGGTAGTCTGTTGAAAGGAACAAGACCTATAGACACATGAGAACTCAACCCATTGGTCGCACGTTCATTTGCATTTGGCGCATTTTGTGTGCACACCTGCAAGCCACCTCTGCACACCTGCATTTCGTCCGGATCGACGCAGATCTGTCAGGCACTGGTGACCGTGCGGAATGCCCTCAACCTGAGCGGCGGTGGATGGTTCGACAAGCTGGATCCATATGCCATCTTGAGGTGCGGACAGGTATGTCAAGTGATATGGATATCTTGAGGTGCTGGATCTCAAGCTGGATCCATATTATATCTCATATGTCAGGTGATATGGATATGAGATGATATGGGCGTTCTCTCCCATATCATTAGGATGAAAGAGGTATTGTTCGTCGAGATTCAACTTTTTGAGGGGGGCGTTGGTCGGGGGGGCTCCCCAGAGCGTTTCGAGCATGCTAAGAATATGGTCCTTTTCCCAAGGTTTCGAGGCAGCAAAGCTGAGTTTAGCACCTTTGCCGCAATGAAGTTTCGGACAACCCATGCCTTGACTGAAAGCAGCTTGCCTTCCTTGCCATTGCCATGCGCCCAGGAACGAGTGTTCTTCAAGATGCTGGCGGCGATCCCATTTGGAATTGCGAAGGCGCAACAGACCACCGGCTCGGTCTCCGTTTGGCGGTCTCCGCGTCAGTCTGAGTGAAGACAGATCAGTGATTCTCTGCGTGACACGGACGGACATCTGGGCGATGTCAACGATCGATCGACGGTGGAAGTGGCCTTTGACAGGCTATCTGCCATACAGCGGGGAAGTGGCCTTGGAAATCTCAGTTTGGGACTATGTGCCTTGAACGCAGCACTTAGATAGAATTCTTTTTCATGTTCAGTTTGCACTTGCCTAGGGTAAACCATAATTTTTCGATGTCCAATGTCCATTGACTTCTCAGCACTCGAACCTCTCCCCCCCCAAGGTCTAACCCCCCCCAAACCTCCCCCGAGGACCATTACAGCTCGGACGACCTGATCGGAACCGGCGTCGTGCAGGCCGGAGAGCGCTACACACCGAAACAGCAAGAGAATTGAGTGCTAAACCCCTAGTCTAAGCCCCCAAATAGATAGACAAGTAAAACCCCACTAAAAATGTATTGGAACCTGGAAACCGTTTCTATCTATTTGGGAACCGCTATACACCCCCACTGAATTCGGAGGGGGGCCCCAATGCCAAAGTTATATTTGGAGGCACCAGCTATCATTGGACCAGCTTTTAGGGGTGTTACCGAGCATGTCGGAGCTATTTGCAACAGCCGTTTGTCTCCTGCGAGGTGGAACAGTTCTGCAATGGCTTTGAGGGAATGGTTCCATTGAGCAGCACGGCTGAAAATGGAGCACGTTCAGAGTTTAGAAGAATTAACAATCAGCTCTTGATTTAGTTCGTTTCATTTGGGGTTGCTGGCATGGTTGTTCCAGGAATTAACTCCAGAGTTTATATCATTATATACTGTATTTTATTTCATGTGTCTTGGTTCCCTCTAGATTTAAACATCTTTTTCATTGCAGTTGCTTTGCCACGAATTAATTCCAGATATAATTCCTGCTGTCCATGCTTCTTTGTCGTCTCCCCCTGGTCCAAACCTTTCTATATATCCCTAATCTCCCAAAGGTATACACCAAACAGACATCCCAAAGAAAATTGTTGGAGAATTCAATCTGAATTTCTCAAAAAGTTGCCTTGATCAGACCGCGCCGACGCTCCCTGGTCCAAATCTGTCTGTTCGAAGTGCCGAAGTGCTATGATTGCGATTGCAAGCGGACGAGCGTTGCATAGGACGAGCGTTCGCTTTTCATCTGCGGCCCAACGCGCTCGTCCAAACGTCCGCAAACGATAGGCCGATTGATAGGGAACTCTGAAAGTCGACGAAACCAAAGCCGCACAAAGGACCCAATTTTGACCATACCTGCGGCCTTGATGAGACAGTCTAAATCCTCCTTGGTCGAGTCAAACCTTGCTAGTTTCCTAGTCTGCAAAGGTATACCCCAAACAGAGCCATGCGACAAGGCATCCAAAAAACACTTTGCAACAAATTGGATTCTTCAGACGTCTACACGTCAACAACCCACCTACGGGCTTGAACAGAATTAACTTGATTGAACACTTTGGCATATGTTGCGCCAAACGGGAATGGACAAGAATTACCTTCAAAGTAATTTATATCAGTTCTTTCTAACTCTGAAAATTGGTGCCCACCGCCCTGGGACCATTGTTCCAAGCCCCTTTGATTCCGCTCACAAACTACTGAAGTGATTTACTAGATGGATAGGCTGTGGGTGCTCCCCACTGGTTCCTTTTCGACGATCAACCAAGGTTCCGGTTTTGACCCCCATCTAGATGGAAAAGCATGGAAAAGCCGTTTCTATTTATGTGGGATCACCAACATCAACGCATGTCTGAAGAAACTACCCCGACTCATTCTTCAAGCTTGGGTCTTTTGAATCCGAGTGATCTGCTCATATCTCAGGCCTGCCCAGTGACAAGAAGAACAAGAAAAAGGCACTGAAACAGTGCTGGCCTTGAAGACAGAAACAAATACCTTTGGAATCCGTTCCGGGTCCGTTGCATGAATCAACCACACTACTTAGTTTACTTGGCCTTTTCTCGTGACGTGCCATCCACCTTTAAGGAGCATGATCACCATCGGCATTTTGTGGGATGCCCCGCCGCAGGACGTCCAAGCACTCCAATGAGCATCACCGGTCAGTTTGTGGGATCCCAAGCCAAGAAAAGAAAGAAACGCGCGCTAACTACCTGGGTTGGAACAAGATGTTCTTCTTCCAGGTATTTGCTATGTTTAAAGCCTTTCATCACCAGCAAGGGACCATGCAGCTTGTCACCGGGAGCCCGGACCATTGCACGTGACATTTCATGTGACATTTCAAGGTCAACTGGCATCCACTATCACCTGTACAATTCATGTTCACTTCCCTTGTGAAGCGCCCACAGTACTGGTGGATTGTTGGATTGTTTTGATCCGACCTGGCATGCTTTACAGTGGCGTACGGATCCTACCTGTCAGTGCTGCTGAGAGAGAAGGAGAGAGAGGGGTCCCTTTTCCAATCTTGCACGGACACCTTGCATTGGCAGGATCCTGCTGCGAAGCTGGACCCTGCTTTGACACTCCAATCGGCTGGCACGAAAGCGCTCAGATGAGAATGCTCGCGGAGGGATTTTCTAGGACCAGACAGAATCAAATGAGTCTTCGCGAGCAGTCTGTGGTCGTGGTTTGTGGTCGTGGTCTCGTTTGGCTGTTGTCGGCATCGAAGACATCAAAATCCCTTGGAATTCCGAGAAGTTCATTATAGCTGACCTCATTTGGGTGGGTCAGCGAAAGGAGGTGAAACCATCCAGAGCAAATTCTGTGAAACGACCTCTTTACTAAAGAGCAAAGCCATGGCAATACCTAACTCCTGCTATGGGTCATTTCATCTTGACCCACGCCCATTTTTGTCAGCAGATGGGCTTCTCTAGCCAGTCTCTTGCATGATGCAAGTTGATTCGGCAAGTTCTGATGCCATCCTAGTTCTGACGTGGTAAGACACTTGCTTACAATGGGAACGTGCATGAAGAAGTGCGGTACGAAGCCATCAAGTCGAAGACTTGGATCGTTTGGTTTCCGCTCCTTTTTGTCCTGCATGGCAATGACTCGTCATTGCGGAAAAAGTCGGCAAGCAGATCGTCTGACTATCCCGATTGATCATTTTTATTGACCGTTTCTGAAAAAAGAGTAGGGGTGGATCTCTGCAAATTAATTTGTGGGCTCAAACAGGTTGTAGTAGGTAGGGTGAGGCAGCGACAGAGCAGTCAATGAACATTTGTAACATTGCAACTGTACCCAGTCCACCAGCTAAAGTCAGAAATCTGATATGGCTAGATCTGACTAGATACAGAGAATCACAGACACCAGCTGCATAGCTGCCTTCGCTGCCTCACAATGTGCCCGGATGAACGACGGCCATGAACCTGCGAACCGTAAGTCTTCCCGATCTGGCGGCCGAAAGGCCCGTTGCTAAAACGAGAGAAGAGCGGGTGACTTGTGGCTTCGTGGCGGGTGTTCCACGGTTTTGGCTTCCAGTTTTGCTTGGCTTAAAGTCATGCCAATCAGCACTGCAAGCTGTTTGGGGCACTTCAATCACTGTCAACCCCTCCGCCCCCGCCCCCCCCCCCGAAAAAAAAGAAAAAAGCGCTCTGGCGCTCCTGCCGCGACACCCCAGTTCAATCCCGTGTGCGTCCTCTTTCTTCCTCCGCAGGAAGCGCAACACCGCGGCGTCGCTGTCGGAGGGCTTCGCCGGTTCGAGCCATCAAGGCAGGACATTGGAGCATGCGCTGCTCGTGCGTTTGGAGTTGTGTGGGTTGCTCATTGAGGGCTGCTCATTGGTCACGAAAGGTAGCCCTTTAGGGGATACCTTGAGTTTGTCTTGCGAAGCAAATGTTGGCGCGTCCGGGTCGAATAATTGATCATTCAATTCAATCCCCCCCCCCCC